TGTGTGTGTGTGTGTGTGTGTGTGTGTGTGTGGCCAGCTCAGCCCACCAGGGGGCGGGGCTGGCCGGCATGTGGTGCTGGGGGATTGAACCGTGGTCCCTGTGCTTTGCTAAGCTTGTTCTAAGTAGGTGCTTTAGACCACTGAGCCATCTCACCAGCCCCCGGCCCACTGTATTTAACTGTTGAGATGAGACACTGGACCACAAATCTGTTGTCAAGTACTGAGCAGACAAGCCTCAAATCAGGAGGAACTAGGAGGAGCCCACAAGCTAACCATGTCCTTTCAAATTACCTTTCAAATTTCATGTGTTTATAAATTTTCATGGCTCCTTCCAAGATTCAGAAATTCATGGACCCAGGGGAACTACCCGCTCGGGCTCCCCTCTCTCGGGACAGGAGCTTTCTTTCTCTCAATAAATATATTCTGCTCATAACCTCCGTTTGTTCCTAAAAGTCATTCTTCGGTTTTAGAGAACAGGAACTCGTGCAGGTCAGGTCCAGAGACAGTTTTTCCCTATGTCATTTGGAGGTTCCCTATATGGTTTGGAGGTCACCCACCCGAGCCCAGTTTTTCTCCCTGTATCACTATCATTCGCATATGGTTTTGGAGATTATATTCTTAACACATGAACTTTGGGATGAAGCTAATATAAAGCACCACATGCTGAGTGTTTTAAACTACAGATACTCATTTTCTTATGATTCCAGAGGCTGGATTCTGAGACTGAAGCGTCATTAGGGGTAGAATCTTCTGAGGCTTCTCTCCTTGACTTGTAGATGCCATCTTTTCTCTCTTTCTTCTTCGCTGTGTGTGTCTGTGTCCTGGTCTCTTATAAGGAGGCTAGACAGCCTGGACTAGGGCCACCCTTAGGAAATCATTGTAACCTAGCCACTTCTGTGCAGGTCCAATCTCTAAATACAGCCATGTGCTGAGGTACTATGGCTTAGGACTTCAGCATATGAATTTGGGCCCACGACAGCAGAGAGAGCCAGTGTGGGAGGGCTTCAGAGCTCTTTGGAGGAGGTGTGTGCGTGTGCTAGTCACTTTTCCATTGCTCAGACAAAACACCTGGCACCCGTCACTTACATGGGAAATTAATCTTGGCTCATGGTTTTGGAGGACTCAGTCCACAGGACCGCAGGCGCAGATGGCATGGCAGAAGGACATGGCAGGGGACAGCTGTTCAGTCCATGGCATCCAGGAAGCAGAGAAAGAAGGGAGGAGCCGGGGCCAAGAATAAACCTTTCCAGATGAGAAAGCCCACCTCTTCCCACAGGTTCCATCTTCCAGCAGTGCATTCAACCATGAACTCCTCAGTGGGTAAGTCTAGGGGTGAACATAGCAGCCCCACAAGCCAACTGCCTTCCAAAGCCCCACCTCTGAACACATGAGGCTTGGGGGGGACAAAAAAAAAAAAAAAGAAATTCATGGACCCTTGTTTGACATTCCAAGTATATCATAACCTCTAACTATGGAGCAAATAAACCTCATAGTGAGGTAGCTTTGGAACATAAACAATTATCCAGGCTCCGGGAACTTAAACATATCCTATAAGACCTGGCATATAACATTTCAAACTATTGGGGTTAACGTATTGAGTATTAGGATGATAATCATGAAGACTGAACATACAATGAATATCTGACATTTCTGGGCTCCTTTTCAGAGTTTCTGTTACTTTGGAATTTTGTTCTGATGATATTTCTCTAATTAGAATTCCTTCATTTACAGGGGGGGACAAAAACAACCCTCTAGTGAATATCTGTAAGTATTTCGTGTGCTTCCTTTTCCAGAAGTCCCAGACAGGGACAAAACTGTTCCCCAGGATAAAGCATCATGAATCTTTCAGCTATATCCTAGAATGCAAGCAATGTGGGTCTATCCACCTGCCAACCTATGAGGGGTGACTGATTCTCCCAAAAGGAGTTCACTGTCTCCTAACAGCATTTGAAAGGCGTAATATTAAAGACACACACTTAATTCTTATCATCAATCTTACCACACAGAAAAAAGTCAGGGGTCAACTAATTAAACCCAGTGGTGGGAGGTGGGAGAGGGGCTGAAGGCCCATGGAAGCCAACTTCTTTCACATTTCTTACCCTGGGAAAAAGAAATTGGAAACCAGTACAAGTAAGATAAAACTGGAAACCCTTTTTTCTTTTTTTATTAGGAAAGCATGCAAATAAACAACACAACTTGTGAGACCATATACCCCTTCCCAGCCTGCACCAATGCAAAGCATTATGGGTGGCATGAAGGACTCACCAAACCAGAAACATGGGGGCGGGGATGGGAAGGACGAGGAGAGGAAGCTTGGGATGGGTGGACTGACACCAAACAGCTACTCCTTTATCCTGCTCCACAGCTTTCTCCCTATTTCCTCTTATAAGCATGAGCTCCTGCAGTTTCGTACACATCACCCAATACAACAACAACGACTAGACTTCAAGTCCATTTCACATAGGGGAAGGGAAACTGAGGCCCAAAGGAAGGCAGGTTTGCCTTGCGCTGTTAGCAAGGCTAAGCATGGTGAGGAGGAGCTGCAAGCCTGGGGGCTGCAGAGCGGTCTCCAGGCCCAGCCCCATGCAGCAGCTACCCCAGCTGCCACCAGAGCTCCTAATGAGAGTCACTCTCAAAAGACACAGAGCACAGGGCTACCATGGGTACGACACTGTCTACCCTTCCTAAGCCTGCGTGGACCCAAGTAGGGCAGGGGCTTAAACAAGAGGGGGGTTAATCTGGAAAGTGGGGAATCCCAGGAAGACAGAGGGTAGCTGTGTGGGGGATGCACCTGGAACAGAAGGAAGAACTGCCTAGCACAGGGTGGGTGCTGGGCAAAGGTGTTCTCCCACCTCCATAGAAATGCTCCTTTCCCCAGAGGGGAGTACTGGGTCACACCTCACAAAGTGCCTACCAACCCAATGCAAGACCCAAGCCACTCACCCCGCCCTGTCTTTCTGACAAAGGCTTCAAAGAAATAAAGTGCTCTTTAGTTAACTGCCCTACTTGCCCCTTAATGCAGCCATACTGGATTCCAACAAACTCTTGTGCAGAGCTCCCTTCCTGAAGGGAAAGGGAGATGGGGAAAGGGAGAAGGAAGCCCGACAGCTTGGAGGTCATGAAGAAAGCAAAGATGATGAAGAAAAGCAGACAGCACGGACAGCGTGGCCAGGCTCACACCACACTTTGTCCTGCAGTTTGCAGAAAGGGAAAGTTTAATCAAATAAAAGATAGAAGTAAAACGGTTCCTCCATCTCCTAACTCAACCTCAACAATGAATATTAAATGTACACCAAGATCTGCAGTGGCCAGGGGAGATAGCTCAGTAGAATAAGCGCTTGCCTGGCAAGCACAGGGTCCTGAGTTCAATGCCCGGTACCTGAAGGAAAAAAAAAAAAAAAGATCTGCGGGATTGGGTCATGGCGATGCTGGCTAGAGGACAGAGGCCACCCTCACGCCTTCTTCTTAATGACCCCATGTCTACATCATTTGCCCTTCACCCAATGGCCTTCTCAAGTCCTGTGATCTGAATTTCAAGAGAAGCATCTGCTTATTCAGGGAAATACATAAAAGAGGCTTGGGGAGCTCAGCACATGGCACCTGCCTGGCAAGTGCAGGTCCAGAGTTCGATTCCCCATACCAAAAAAGTACAATAACCAAAAACAGGAAACGCTCGCTCCCCACATCTGCACCAGCCCGCTTGTCTCTCCTCCCCACCCCCACCACAACACAGATGTGATTCTGCATAACTGGTGAGGAGAGATTCCCACACCACGTCAGGGCCAAGATAACACCCAGTGATAATGGTTTCCATTCTCCTGAAAATCCCAAAAACTAGAGGGAAAAAAATAAGATGAGGGGAAGATCTGGACAGCCAACTAGCAGAGGACAAAATAATACATGCCGGATGGGGAAGGGCAAAGGAGGATGATTTCTAAACCCAAGAGCTGCAGTTAGTTTTCAGAGAATTGTTTTTAAAAGCCAAAATGGCTAAAATGAAATCATCTCCAAGACGCTTAACTGACTGCTGAATATTGTCCACTTGGGCTACCATAGAAGCGGAGCCCAACCCAGGATCCTTAGCGCACAGGGGGTGGGAGGAGCCCATAGATGCTCCTCCCCAGGCTACTGTCCCTCACTTTTACAGAAGCTGCTCACCCTCCCAGGCTGCGATCTAGTTAAGATCTTACTCTCACGCTCTGGGGAATTAGGATTGTGAGAAGGTCTGAAGGGACAAAGAAGACCTCAGAGGGCAGGATTAGCACCATTGAGTAAAACCTGCCAAGTTTCAGATCCCTTCTGCTTGACAACATGACCTTCCCAGTCCCTGAAACAAGACAGGAACAGAAAATGACTCAGTGCTGAAAGGAGGGGCTAGTGGCGAGTTCCTCCACAAGAGAAAGGTGAACTGGAATCTGCAACTTTCTCTCCAGCTATCGTGGCCTCATCTTCCAGCTTGATGATTTTAAATTAGCAAGGTGTACACTGGGTCCATGACGTGGGGACAAGAGATGGAGGATAGTATATAACCAAGAGTAAGAATAATAATAATATAATTAGAATAATATTAAAAGAATGAAGACAAAACAGAAAGGAAGAGAGAAAAATGAGGCAAGAAAGGGGAGTATCTTCGGCAGCATCTTGTGGTGGCTTCTCTGACAGAGAAAGAACAAAAAGAGGATATATATCTATGTACAGGTGGAGGGGGCAGGCGGGCTGCTCTCTTCCCTGGCCAGACTTCGCCACCAGGCCCTGGGCTGATATCCACGCTCTGATGCATTAAGTGATCAAGTCCCAGTCGAAGTCATCAGGGATCTCCTCACTGGCACCCGGAGGCGGGACTGGAGGCCGAGGGACCATGTGGTGCGCTATGGGGAAGAGAGAGTCACAAGAGGCCTGGTGAGAAGCTGCCCATCCACCTAGACACTGCTCAGTCCAAGTAACATCATGAAGAAGGCTGTGTGAAACTACTGCTGTATCAGCCTCGGGGTACTCCTGTCATGGGCCAGACAGGAATGCTTTTGGGAAGGGTTTGACAAAATCTGTAAGAATAAACTGGGTTTCATGGCAATAAAATATTATTCTCCCATCAAAAATGTTATCTAGAGCAGGACAAAGCACACACTGGGAGGCTGAGGCAGAAAGACTGCAAGTTCAGGCCTAACCGGAGCAACTTAGAGACCTTGTCTCAAAATAATAAATAAGGGGCTGGGGACATGGCTCAGTAGAATAAGCACTTCCCTGGCAAGCGGAAGAGCCTGAGTTCAATCCGTGTTTTCCGCCAATAACAATAATAATAATAATAATAATAATAATAATAATAAATTTTTTTATAAAAAGTTAAAAGGGCCAGAGAGAGAGCTCAGCAGACTAAGTGTCTGCTTTGGCAAGTGCAGGGACAGAAGTTCCATCCCCCGTCCCATAAGCTGCGCCAGCCCCACCCCCGGGGCATGCAGAGTAGTTGGCAACCCAGTCTGGACATGATGGCGCGTGCCTGTGATCCCAGCACTGGGGAGGCTGAAAACAGGAGCATCATTAGTAGTCTGAGCTGCATAGTGAGACGCTGTACCAAATACATACATGGAAAAAAAAAGGTATGTGGTTGCACACACCTGTAATCCCAGCACTGGGGAAGATGAAGCAGGAGGATAACCTGGAGTTCAAGGCCAGCCTGAACTACATAGCAAGACTCTCAAAAACCAAAATACATGAATAGTAAAAGAGAAATAAAAAACTTAAAAAGCATTGGGGATGCAGCTCACTATGAAGGCCCTGGTTGAATCTCCAGTACTCCAAATCAAAAAATAAACAAACAAACTGATGTAGACTATGTCATAATGATAAAATATAAGAATGTGCTATTTTATGAAACAGTAGTACAGAAACATGTATTTATATCACATGGACAAAACATTAAATGTTATTCAAAAACTGGAAAACATCTGTGGTTATATTAGATGATGATAGTGCCTTTTATAAACACACACACACACACACACACATATATATATTCATTTATTTTTTAAATTTTTGAGACACAGTTTCACTATGCAGTTTAGCCAGGCCCTGAATCCACTTTGTAGCATAGGCTGGCCTTGAACTCACAGCAATCCTCCTGCCTCAGCCTCGAAAGTGCTGAGATTTCAGGTATGTACCACCACACCTAGCCATCTACATGTATTTAAATATAGATTCCTATAACTTTTTTTCTTTTTTGGTCTTTTTGAGATAGGGTCTTACTCTGCAGTTTAGGCTGGCCTTGAGCTCACTTTGTAGCTCAGGCTGGTCTCGAATGTGCAACAATCCTCCTGTCTCAGCTCTGGAGTGCTGGGGTTACAGGCTAGCACCACCATGCCCCGATCTATTAACTTTTTACTACGACAATTCAGTGTTTCTTCTCTTCACTGTCACTGGCAGTGCAGCCCTGGGCTGGGTGTGTAGCTCAGTGGAGAGCACTAGCCTGAACGCACACAGCCTGGGCTCCATCCCCAGCACCACAAATGAAAGGTGCTTCAATCCCAAGCCCTTGACAAAAAGTGTCAGGAATTCATTTTATTTGCCTAGGTAAATGTATCCATCTAGATTCAAAAGCTAGACAGACAGAGATGGCCCACATGACTATTTTCAGCTAATACTTACACTTTTGTCTTCCATCATGACTGTGATTATAATCTAATTTTAAAACACATCTCAGGCTGTAGGTATGGTTCAGGTGAACAGCACTTGCTCATCACATGCGAAGCCCTGGGTTTAAGGTGCAGCACCACCAAATGTGAATGAATGAAAGAATGAATGAAGCTAGGCGTGGTGGCACACACCTGTAACCCAGCACTCGGGAGTCTGAGGCAGAAAGATTGTTTTGAGTTCAAGACCAGCCCAGGCTACAAAGTGAACTCAAGGCCAGCCTGAGCTGTCTAGTTAGACCTTGTCTCAAACAGACGTTTAAAGAAAAGAAAAAGGAATATTATACACATAGATATAGGTATAGATAACAGATATAGATATATATAACATATATCTATATCTATATATATATCTGTATATACAAAATAGGATAGATATACAGCTTTCTCTTAATTCAATGAGATGAAAGATTCATACTAATAGTGTTTAGACAGGATATCATGTCTGCATCTTGTACTATGAATAACTACTATGAAAACAACAATATGCAATGTATTAATTATTGTAACTATCCTACTAACCTGTTTTGAAACTGTCTCACTGCTATTTGTTTCTCAATAAAATTAATTTTTTAAAAAGGAATGAATGAGTGAATAAACAAAAGACTGAACGAATGAAACCTCTAACTCAGCGGTGGTGACCCTTCCCCTCCTTCAGCCTTGGGAACCATGACAGCTCACCCACGTGGCAGACGCAGGCAAAAGGGTAGAGAGCAAGGCTGAGGTCAGAGGAAAGCACACAACTCATCAGGGAAGAGAAGGCTTGCCTGGTGGTGAAACCTACTTCTGGGCTCTTACCTGGGCGACTGTAGGTTGTAGAGTCCTGGGTGGGAATTGGGTACATGGGTGACGGGCCAGGGTAGAGGTGGGGGGCTTGTGGGTGCCCATAGGAGTTCACTGCCAAAAGAAGACAAGAGTCACTGGGCAGTGGTCATCACACCCAGCAGGGCAGGGAGAGGGCTGTGAACCCTCTCTCCTTAATCTTTTCTCCCTTCCCTGCCTCACATATGGGACTCCTGCAAGTTCTACCAGGCTCATTGTGTACGATAAAATGAGATGGACAACAGAATTTTGAAATACCAAAACTACAAGCATGACAAATACAGACATACAATCAAGTCTCTTTTCACTGATCTGATATACTTGATAGGATGCAGGTAAGGGTTATGGAGACACAATTTGCAATGGGGCCTCTAACATATGTCCTCCTTTGTCCTCAAGTAACTCCAATCTCCCAATCTAAGACCTAATGTCCTGGACTGAGGTCTATTTGTTTTGCGTGTTTGGGAACAACCTTTCAGTCAATGAAGCGAACAAATCAGTTCCAGAGCCAGGCATGGTGGTGCACACCTATCATCCCAGCAGCAGGAGCTGAGACAGGAGGAATGCTGAGGGTTTGAGATCAGCCTAGACTACATAGTGAGTTGAAGACTCTGCCGAAAGAAATAGAGAGAGAGAGAGAGAGAGAGAGAGAGAGAGAGAGAGAGAGAGAAGA